ATATATATATGATAAAAAAAAAATTACCAAAAAAATTTGTGTTAATATTACCGTTAGCATTTGAGTAAAGCTATGAGATGCCATCGAAAGTGAAAACTCAGAGTGATGGGATAAGTTGGCACAAGTCATACGAGAAGCACTTAAATTAGAATTGTAAAAAAAGTTCTCTCGTGTTGAATCCTACGAATAAATATAAGAAATAGTATAATTGTATAACATAACAACAGTTAGTCAATATTAAATTTTCAAATTATGAACTGAAAATAAAATATGATATACCTGGTTGATACAATTCCGCTTATCAATTTGAGTTCTATCATTATCTGTCGACACATCTTGATTAATACAATCTGAATTCTTTCCTCCAGCTTTCTTGCGCTTTGAGTTCGCTTCAAGAGAAGTTTTGATCCTCTTTTTTATATGTTTTACATTATCTTTCTTTTTAAAACTTTTGGCTCATAAGAGGAGATCTTTGTCATTATTTTCTTCGGGTAAATCTATTGTCGAATCCGTAGTACGGAGAGATGGAGCTGTCACCTCCATAATTTGTTTCAATCTTGCACTTAACTCATTTACATATGATGTTGCTAGCTTATAGCTTTCATCTGTTTCAGAAGCTTTAGCTGCCATTCTAACAAATATAGGACAAAGGATTCTATAACGGTTCACAAAGGTCAGCTTTGAATCCTTGATCTCTATATCTTGCCCATTAATTTCTTTAATATTTATGGCCTTTGCAGTTTTTGTCCACCTTTTCAAAATATACTCATCTGGAATTTTACTCACTCCTCTTATCACATCAAGAATTCTTATTGCATGACAACAAAGTATACCCATATACTCAAACTGCATGCAAGTACAAGATATATGATCTGCTTCTGCCAGCTTAACAATATGCTCTCGAGTATGCCCATAATTGCTAACCTTATACATGATGGAAAAATTATTTTCCTCATATCCATTCACTTTGACTATTAAAGACTTCATATATTCATCTTGGAACTTTGCAAAAATATTTGGTGTATATACCTCTCTAGCATGAAACAAAATTGGCACATTTGCTTTTAATACCGGCAATCGTTGTGATGCATTACATGTATCTTGCAGCTCATTTGCAGCTCATTATATCTCTTGTCCTCAATTGCTCTATCATAATGCTTAAAAAAACGTATCAAATTATAATCAAACTGCAAGTAATCCTTTAGAAAGCATTTGCAGCATATACTCATCTGGAAAGACTATTTGCAGCATATAGAAAGCAAATAATTCACTATTCAAGCTCTCACTCAATTGTGTGCTAGCCGAAAATATTTGCTTTCTATATGCTGCAAATAGTTTTTCTCTAAAAGCATATATTCCTTGCAACCATTTATTTTCATGAAGATTATATTCATCAAGCATAGCATTCCAAGCATTTATAAAATTCTCCTTCATCTTCATACCCATAAATGCATTTTCTAAAATCACCACGAAAAGAAGTGTACCTTTTACAAACTTGATTGAGGTGTTTTGCTACATTTTGTTCCATGTGCCAAACACACAACCTATGATGAGCATTAGGCATGACGAATGAGATGGCCTTACTCATAGCAGCATCTTGATCTGTAAAAATAGTTATTAGTTTTTTTTCAGACATTGCTCTAAGAAATATTTCAAATAACCACTGAAAAGACTCTGAAGTCTCATCATACATCAGTGCACCTCCAAAAATAATCATTTTTCTATGGTTATTAAATCCAATGAACCTAGCCAACTTTATTTGTCTGGTATGTAGTATCAAACGAAAGCACATCTCCAAAAGTCTAATAATCTATTATCATCTTAGAATCTGCCCAAAATATGTTCGTGATCATATCATTAACATCCAACTATACCGCAAAAAAGAAAGATGGATCTTCAACTCTTTTCTTCTCAAAATCTTCTAATAGTACTCCCGGAAGAAAATACCAAAAAGAAGCATGTATATACAATTTTTAATATGAGAAAATCACATTCAAAAGACTAATAAAATATTATTATGCAATATGAACAAGAAAAATTTACTTGCTTCTCCTTGTCCCATAGCTTTTAGTTCGAAGGTAGTTCTTATGATCTAATTTAGTGTAGCCCAAATTTGCTCGGCCACCAGCTTGAAGACTCATAAAATCAAAAGTTCTTTTAGAAAATAATCAAGCATCCTGCCAAATCGATTTCATGAGTTTGTACGTCGTTTAAATTTCTGTGAGATGGCAACATGTGAATCATCGTCGGTAGAACGAGAGGATGGTTATGTTGTAACTAAACCTTAGTAATATGGTACTTTCCAACAGATTGGCGAGTAATAACAATATGAGCTTGATATCCTGTTCTAGTCTCTTTTCGTAGATTTTTAGCTTAATATTTTTGTTTATCATCTCCACGAAAACCCTCCTTAAAACATGTAAGCTTCCGTGATGTTACGTAACCCAATTTCTTATTTATGTTCACGTACTCTTTGCGAACACTAAAACCGATCCTTCTTGCGTACTCATTGTAAAAATTAAATGCATTCTCATCGTCGTCAAACTCAAGGCCAAGTGCAGGCTCAAGATCTATTGATCCTTGAAAGTTCACTTTTACTTGGCACGTTTTGACTTTTCACACCCCTTAAAAAATAATAAATGAAGTGAATAATTTACCATGATATCCATATTAATTGATGCATATTTTATTAGATTTGAGAAAATGATTTGAAATGAGTAATAAATACTGTGGGTATAACAGGAAAAACAAAATTTGTCTTCTCTTGATATGTGTAAAGTGACAAATAAAAATAAAAATTTATTTTTAGTATACATGCCAAGTAAAAATGAACGGAGAGAGTACTTTGTAAAACTTTTTCGGCAGTAGCTTCATACTTGCTTTCTCTGAAATTGTCCATTATACTTCAAAAGAAAAAGAATGCAAAACATAAAAATATCATTAAGTTTTGAATAGTTTAACTAGAAAAATATAAACTTGTTGCATTTGAATTCTATTATATAAGTAATGGAAAAATATTATACTAGAACAGATGTAATCCATCTTCCAAAGAATATAAAATAATCACATTAACTTAACAAACCAAACTTAAAAAAATCAAAATAAGTCTAGTAAAAAGAAAAGAGAGTAGAACCTTGTCTTTCAAAAGTTCACTTCAACTGCTACGAAGTTGATCTCAATAACAATGGCACTTTTGATTTCTTAGGAAAAGAATAGAAAGAAATATTCATATAAAATCTATAATATATTATTAGTTAGAAAGATAAACCAGATCTTTGATTTATTATTCGTAATCGTTTACAAAAGGAAAGAGGTGATGGACCTTTTTTGGCGGGTAAATGATTGTGTAAGTTGAATTCCCGCCACGTTATTTTTCTTTTACTTTTCTTATGCTTATTATATACTATGTTTTACTAGTTATGATATCATGGTGAGACCTACCTATTGTGTTTGAGTGAAAGAAACGGTGTAATAGACGGATGCCATTAGTACTAAGTTTTTTGCTATTTTTTTTTTGAAAGTGCATTATCATTTTTAGTTATTTGTTAACCTATTGAATCTCAACCGTGAATTAATTGAGTAGACACATGGCACAAATCAGTAAGTGTATTGAGCAATAATGGACATATTGTTACTGGAGGGGATCTCCACCCCCGCATAATAGTTGAAAATAAATGCTATGATTTCTGTAATGGCTGCTCCTTTAGTGCTGTCTATTTCAACCGGTACCTTATTTTTAAATTCTTTTCCCCGACCTTGATACCTTCGAAACTTATGTAATGCCAGTTATATGCTTGTAATCGGTACTAGCCATTTGCTGACTCGTCTCTTATCGGTCTTCATGGCCACGTGTCTATTCGAGAAGCATTCACGTGTAATATGTGAATCGGTGTATGTAGTCGGTTACAATTCTCAATCTTTATAATAATAGATAATAAGAATACATGTGAAACTAATGCAAATAATGAAAGTACTTGAAAATGTAGGTGCTGGCAAATGAGAGCAGCCTCTTTGGAATATAACCAATAAGTCAATAACCATGTGCTAATAAGTCCAAATTTAGCTCCACCAGTGCTGAAGGAAGGTGGACTATAGTACTCTTTTTTTTTTTAAAGATAACATTTTTTACTACTATAATAAGAATACATGTGAAAAATGTTACGTTATTTTCTGGAAAGAATTTGATTCCGTGACCCATAAAATAATACAAATAATCTTTGGAAAAGTTGCTGATGAGGAGCCTTTAGTTCAATGCTTATGTGGTAAAGTTGCTGGCCATATTGATTTGTACAAATTCGATCCTCGGGTTCTCCCAAGTATGTTTCTTGCTAAAGCTTTTCAAATTTAATTTTAGTGTTCCTTAACTTGATTAACAAATAATTTTATTTTTGAATTTGTAAAGGCAAGGCAATCTATGGAGAAACTTCGATTGGGCAAGAGTGAATTTCTCCCAAAAGTTTTTACCAAAATTGAACTCTCTTAGGAATTTACAACAAGATGATAAGCTCAATCTTTAACACATGTGTTCTTGAAACTTGGATTGGGCAACTCTAGCTGGATTTAATTTGTTCCCGGAATTGGCTACCGGTAATCAAACTCCGTCACTGGGAAATTAATCTCAGGGGCATTTGAACAATCAGAATAATAACAACAATTTGAATAATCTGAATGAATGTTTTCCATTCATGGAGACCTTGATTTTGAAGGTGGGGTGGATGTAGAAGTACAAAGCCGGATTAGAGTTTTAACTGGGAGTAGAGGGTCCGACAGGTTACGGGTAACCCGAACAGGGATGTGTTTTTTTGTTGTTGGGTTGGTTCGTTCACTCACACATTGACACGTGTTATGTCCGTTAAAATAGGGGTAAATATACAACTTTGATGAACGACAATGGTACATGTGAACGGAAAGTATATATAAGGGAAAATATGATTGAACAATAAATGAAATTAGAAGGGTGTATTTGGTCTTTTTTTTCAAATAATCTAAGTGGTTGAATAATGTAAGTGTTGGCAAATGAAGAGCAGACCAGTTGCTGCCAACTCTTTGGAATATAACCATGTGCTAAGTTCAAACTCAGCTCCCCCCGTGCTGAATGTAGACTGAAATACTCTTTGAAAGATAAGATTTTTAAAGTTTAGGGAGTAAAGCAGTATCGCTACGTATGTGTATATATGTGTATGTGTGTATGACTATAACGACCCGACCGGTTATTTTGAGCATTTGCATTCCGTTCAGCTATTTGAAGTATTGAGTAGCTCCGTATGATGTATTATGACTTGTGTAAATCGTCAGTCTTGGTTTTCAGGTTATTCAGAATCGATTTGGAAGAATGAATTTTATGATTGAAGCTTTAAGTTGGAAGAGTTGACCAAGTTTGACCTATGTGAATTTGACCCCGGAACGGAGTTTTGATGGTTTCGTTAGGTTCGGATGATGATTTTGGACTCGAGCGTATGCCCAGATTTGCAATTGGGTATTTGTAGAAGGATTCGACACTAATTGGCGAAAGTTGGAAATTTGAAGGTTTGGAAAGTTCATAAGTTTGACCGGAAGTTGACTTTGAGGATATCGGATTCAGATTGTGGTTCCGGAAATTGGAATAGCTTCGGTATATCATTTGGGACTTGTGTGCAAAATTTGAGTTCATTCTAGGTTGATTTGATATGTTTCGGCGCGAGTTTTGGAAGTTGAAAGTTCAAAATTCATTCAAGTTTGAATTGAGGTACGATTAGTCGTTTCGATATTGTTATGTGTGATTTTAGGCCTCGAGTAGGTCCGTGTTATATTATGGGACTTGTTGGCATATTTGGACGGGGGTCCCGAGTGGCCCGAGTGAGTTTCGGACGAGGTTCGGATCATTTTCGTTTCATGTTGCATTGCTGTAGGGTTTGCTGGTTCTGGTGCTTCCGCATCTGCGGAAGAATGGACGC